TGAGCAAACAATTTCTGAGACTAGACAAATTAGGAAGCTCAAATTTTACGGGGCTGTTATCTGTCCATATGCGGCCCGAAAAATTCAAATTAAATGTTCACATATTTTTACTCTTGCTTACGAATATATACATGAAATTACAAACTGCGACATACCGACCAATCTAAGAAGCAAAAGTCGAGAGCTACAATTTTACGAGGTTTTCTGCCCATGTATGGATCTTAACGACGTCTCGCCTAGTCTTCATTTCCGGACACATGGAAATTCGAGACTGAAAATTTGTTAATGCGCTATTAGAATAGATAAAGAGCTAAAATTTTGTGAAACTTATTAATAACAGTGCGAGGATAAGTGTGTGTAAAATCACCTTCGCGCACTCTCTACTTCGCACTTACGGTCATTTGGAAATTGACACAGGCAGTGTTGCAATTGTTTGCGAAAAAAACATTCTCGTTTCGATTCGCAGGCACGAGTCTCATTTTTTATCGTTTTTTTTTTCATGATTATTCTGTGCAAGATTTCAGCATCTGGCTTTTTACTGTTAATGGCGTTTGTTTTTTGAATTTTTCTTTCTTTTCTGGAGTTTCGTTGTTGTTGAGAAGAAATAAGTTTGTGGAACTTCTTGGTACAAAAAACTGGCTGCTTTTATAATATTTTTGCAATGTTCTCATGGTGAAATTTTTTTTTGGTGTTACTCAATTTTGAAAACTGCAGGCAGCGAGAGAAAACTACAATGCCTTCAAATACTTCTTCATGAAATATCCCCAATTTGCTGATCATCGAGTGTTTATAATGGGCGAAAGCTACGGCGCCGTCTACACGACCACAATGCTTGAGCATATCATCGATAACGCTACTGAATTTCCGATTAAAATTGAGGTTCCGATTGAGCATTGAGTGAAATGTGCGGCTGTTCCGAGCAGCTCCACCGTTCCATTTCAATCCGGAAATGGTCTCCACGTTCTCGGAGATGAGAACTAAGCTTCAGCTATGATCCGCTTTTCTTAGGGTGGAACTGCACAATGCTAAAAGCATCCTGCTTAGGAATAGTGAAGTCTGCAGCTCGCTTATGAGATGGGAAGGATGGACAGATAGCAGGAACAGTAGCGGTACATTCACGTTTGGAAGTCGCTCAGGATGTAGACGCCTAAAGGGGGAAAATCCAAAAAGTGGAGTGTAAAAATTTGCAAGGATGCCCATTAGAAACAGGCCAAGGGGTTTTTTGACTTATACTGAAAAGTAAAAAATGAAGCTTTTAGCCCTGGATCGCCGAATTGGCATGAACATCTAGAATCAAAAACTTATTCTCGAGGACCATCGTTTTGGTTATATGCGCTATTATTAGAACAAGAAATGCTTCTTGGCCCACTCACAAGGCCCTTTTAAACACAGTATCATACAAACGAAAGAAAGCGCTTATTTTAGCAAATGTTTGTGCCTAGTGGTGAAAAATAAAAATAGCCATCAAAAAAATAGCCATTTGGTACGGCCGTTTCCAGCTGAAGAAAGAATTATTTTTCACAAAAAATCCACGCAAAATTTCTTCTTCAGTGAAAAAAAGCTTTTAGGGATTAGTATCCGCTAGTGGTCTGCTCAACTCCAATTTGAACAAATATGCGCAGTTTCGTTTTGGATATGGCTTCGGATTTTACGGCGAGTCGGACTGGAAGATACTTAGCGAATGCTGCAATACAAGCTGTTCTAGCACTTGCACACAGAACAGTAGCGTGTTGGCGAGCTGTAGGCTTGCGGTACAAGTCGTCATCTTATTCAATGAAAAAGTTCTTTTACTAGAATATTGCTACTTCCAGCAAATTCCATTTCACCTCCTCATCATCACTACAACAACTTTTTGATACGGGTTGGATTTGTGCTCAGGTCTCCCCTCATTTCCAGTTAATTGTCGCAGTAGGCTACTTTTGCACTGATCGTCTAAAGGCAGAAAAAATAAATAACAGCGCGCACCAGACTAGCCGGCGCGATCATGCATTTTTTGCAGTCGTTTACCGAACGATTGCCTGTTAATGATTTTCACTGCTTTGTACTTTAGTCTATATACAAATAGTTGAAACGCTGAAAAATAGTTAAAAATTTCACGCACCGACACATGAAATCTCACGCACCTTTACTACCGCAAAACTGCAGCTTCTTGGCTTTTATGATTTCTGAGATAATCATTTGCCCTCCAAAATTTCCACGGGACTGTAGGTGATACCCGAGAGCGCGGGGAAGCTGAATCTGAATGTTTAAGGCGGTACGTGAACAAGGGGTCATTACTCAAAATTTCAGCTTCGTAGATTTTGTGGTTCCCGAGATAATAATTTACCTGCCGCTACTGACGCCCAAGAGAAGGCTGAATTTAAATTTGTGGGGTCGCATATGGGTGAGGGAAGTTCCTCTAAATTTCCAGCTTCCTAGTTTTTGTGGTTCCCGAGCTGTGGACAAGTTGCTGCGAACAAACACACACACACACAGACAACCTCGTGACAATATGCATCTTGTACTGCTGTTACACGGCACAAGACGC